TGTACTTATATATATATATATATATTTTTTTTTCATATTCCGTAGTACTGAAGGGATGCTGGACTCTGGGGATGTTAGACTCTGGGAGTCTCGGCCCGAGAGCAAAAGCTTGGGACCTTGACATTGGGATGCGTAGTCCATACCCAGAGCATGGGCCTTGGTTCAGAAAGTAGACTCTAAGTAGACCCTAGTAGGAACCCTTATAGACCCCTGAAGAGAGGGACCCTTAAAGAGCAGCCCTTCGTGTCTCTTTGTTGTAACTACTTTGCCCGCGCCCCTTGTGCTTCTTTTCTTTTGAGACTCGGGGATGTCCAACGCAGCTCAGACATCGTAGAAGTGCCCAAATAGTTACCAATACTCGGTTGGGGTTCCCTATTATGATTTTGGTATTATGTACCCCAAAAGCCTGTTCTAATTATGAAGGCCCGTATATTACCTCTTCATTCAACATCACTGGCACCACGCCATCCTCGTATTCACAGCTGCCTATAAAATAACAAGCATTATCATCACTATCACTAGTAGCACCATGGTGATGATGATGATGATGACGATGATGATGATGATGATGGTGATGGCAATGGTGATGGTGAAAGTCGTGACAACAACGATCGGATTGCTTATTGCTAGTAGCGCAACACTCGGCATGATGACGCTGATGACGATGATGATGGTGGCGGTGGCGGTGTTGATGGTTGACCGAGATCAACCTGATCCGGTGACACAATGCAGAAATCGCCTCCTCCAAGCCCCGTCATGTTGGGCCAATCTGAGCTGCGAGCCGTTTGTACTTTTCAATGCGTTCCTGAAGGGATGCACTAAACCCTAAACCCTAAACCTCAAACCACGGCCAGTTTTCGACCGCCGGAATGTGCGTCGCGTAATTGGCGCACGGCTCGTGCCAGCCCGATCGACCGTTCGAGATGCTTGGTGCTTGGAGCTGTGAGTCGAAAATGCGGAATTAACATGATGTTGGAGGTTCAGAAGATTCGGGGTACCTTCTGAGAGGTCGTTACGATAAAGATCCTGCGCTTCAAGGTGTTTTTCTATGCGAGTTGACTGCTCGCTTCAACTCACTGTACATATGATGATATCTTTGGGTCTGTAAAAGAAATTCGACAGCCGTCAGCGCTCCGGTGGAGCTGTTCAGGAGATGTTCGGACTCAGTGGAAGTGGGAGAGCATGGCGCACATCTTGAGATGTTTGTTGGCTTAAGGGGCGTAGGATGGAGGACAAGCCCTAAGGGTCCATGTACTCGTATAGTATACATTGGCCGCAAAGTACCCAAAGAGGGACTACTTTTAAGGCCAAAGTATATGCTATTTGGGTACATGGACCCTTCGGGAAGGGTTACTTTGGGGTTTATGCTTCAGTGTCTGGGCCCTGAGTCCGTAGTTTGCCGTTTCGTTTGAATAAGAAACCCTGGGCCTTTACTAGGTTTCCTTCTGTGGGCCGTGCTAATACTTTGGGGTTCTAGGACGAGTGTTTCTTAACCAGGTTTCAAGGGGTTTAATTTAGGTTACCACAACAGGGAAACCATATTATTGACTATCAATCCCTGCTATGGTAACTTATATATATATATAAACCCCTTACAACAAGAACCCGAGGCCCTAAACCCTAAGCCCTAGACCCTAAGCCCTAAACCCTAACCCCTAAACCCCTAAAGAACCCTCAACCCTAAGCCCTAAAGCCCTAAAGAACCCCAAGCTTCTAGCCCTAAACCCTTATACGCCCTAAACCCTAGATCCTGAACCCTAAACCCACAACCTAAGCCCAAAACATCTGAAAGCATATATATATATATATGTACATGTATGTATGTGTATGTATGTGTGTATATATATATATATCTATAGTGGTGCTCATAGTAACCGCCGCAGCCGTTTGGCCATTAGGAGCTCCGCAACTCTCAGCTTCCACCAGCCTCCATCCTTAGCTTCACAAGAAGGCTCAAGCGTCATGGTGAAGGCGGGGAGGCCTTGTTGATACTCGGACCTAAACCCTAGATCCTAAACCCCTAAACTCGAATGATTCCAGCGGGATTGTGGGTGTATTGGAGGACCTGCAGAAATCGCCGCCCTAGCCTGCTTCCAACCCAAAGGCCAAATCAAGACCTAGAGGCAGAGTGTTGATAGATTCCGATGGTGTTCTGATGCTGCATGTAGAAGCTCAAAAACTGAGAATACTACGACCACGAGAATACTATCAGGCAAGAAGTGCCTTACAACGCATCAGCGAACGTGGAAGCAATGCGATGTGATGGCGATAGGCTGACCTTTCCACACCATCTTTTATGAAGCTGTGCGGTGATATACACTGTTCTGCATGTGGGTACAGACTAGCACATGCGATTGTGCACCGTGGCACCCTACGATATACTACAGCATTCGGCATGGTTTTGTAGATATCTGTACTTATCGCCGTTAGGAGCTTCATTGAATGCTTTATGCCATGTCAGTTGGAATGTGTAGGGTCGCATGGCGACACGGAAACATCCCGGGCCATGCTCAGAGCTATCGGGGCTGTCGGTTGGGGCCAAATCCCCGTACTGTACTTGGACCAGAAGAATTACGCAACAATAAGAATAAGTATAACGAAAGCACTAAAGAAATAATACCTTAACTTGCAAGCTGCTTAGTATTATGACCTAAAGTGTAGGGAGTATTGGGCCTATGGTGTTTGCAGCAGGCCTTGCTTTGACCAAGTCTTTGCCGACTGTCCGCGTGCAGTCTGCAGGTTCTCTGCGTGCTCTACGAAGATCCTGCCGGAGGCTACCTGGGTTCTGGTTACGGGGTTTGTTTTCAGTTAGCATAGTAAGGACACCATATTATTTACAATAGGCCCTTATTATGGTAACTTAAATGAAATCCTTTAGCAAGGAACCCAGGCTACCCTTGCGAGTTTGCTTCCAAGGTAGACAACAATGTCAGCCAGCAGGTCAGCAAGACTTCATGTGCATGTCGCATGCTTGCATGGGCTACGTGATCTCTGTCTCTCTCTCTCTCTCTCTCTCTTTATGTATATATATATATATATACATATATATATGTATATACACATACATACATATATGTAGACGAAGAGATGTATGTATGTCTGCATGTCTGTATGTATGTATGTACGTATGTATGTACGTAAGTTGATTTATTTACATACTCGCCTATTCTTTCTTTATGTATACCTACATTTGTCCGGTCACATCTACAAACACACTTTGAAGAGAGAGAGAGAGAGAGAGAGAGAGAGAGAGAGAGAGGGAGAGCGAGAGAGAGAGACCGAGAGAGAGAGCGAGAGATACCGTGTCTATGTAACGGGAAGAGGGTGATAGACAGCCGCTTAGGTTAGCGGCTGGAGACTCTTGTATCTAGAAACTGCTGGCAGGGTAAATCTAAGCATACATCCACACATTAATTTATTGCGGCATTTATTGATAGGCTCATACTGGCATGAATTTGGCCTCTCGGGCATGGATACACAAACAGACGCAGGCACACGTGAATGCATGCATACATAGATACCGACATCAATTCACACGCACATGGTTACACCATCAGATACTCCCAAGCTTACAAACAGACAGGACTACATGCAGACAGTCCAAGCATGTACCTGCATGCATAGTGTGTGCGCATATGCGCGATTTCGAGGAAACAAAACACAACTAGGAGAGAAACGTACGGTTAATTGTGTGTGTAGCAGGGAATTGGCTGAGGATGTAAGCTCATTCTGCGTTGCCAATGCTCAAAGCTGTGCGGAATTCTAGAGTCAAGACCTGGGCAGTGGGCGTTTTTTGGCTTACCATGTCTCGTTCTGGGAGTGACGTATCGGTGCCAAGTTTTGTTGGGACTCCGATTCGCCGCATTAGGCTATCCAAGTACCTACTCTCGCGACGACATCCCCGTGATCAAGTCGTATCCAGGTTCTCTTGGCCGCACTGTGCATTACAACTCAGGGCGCTATTTATACGCAGCATAAGGGGCCTTCATGATGAAAAATACTGTTCCCTGGCGATTCCTTCATACAAGTATACCAGAACCTACCTCAAACGCCCTCTTCCAAGTCTTACGGCCCCTGTTTTGCCCAGGGATCTTGAGGCTCCCCTCCTGGGAGGTTTCGAAACATAGATCCCTTTGCAGCTTCGAGTCTACAAGACGGAGCATTGCAAATTTGCTTCATGGCATCCAGAACTGTGAATATAGCAGTAGCAGCAACAGCAATGATGCAAAAATGAATGATGCCAAAAGCAACAAGAACCCCACCTTCTTTCGTGCGCTATGACAATATCGGACTAACGCTGTTTCGGATACGGGCCGGCGCTACTACAGAATCCTACGAGTGGTGGCAA